ATTTTTTTAAATTTTATATTCTACAAATGAATATGGCCAGGTTCTCTTGCTCACAAATATGTCAAAAATGTATACATTAAAAAAAATTACTTTCAACTAAAACGAAAGTAGACAGTTATTTTACTACGGTGTAGGGGTTTTCAAAAGGGTAAAAGTTCGCAATTTGTTTCAAGACATTTTAAATAGATTACATATATATACAATATATTTAATATATACTAGGTGCTCCCCATCAGAGGCACTTGACGTTCTAAATCCTTAATTCTCTTTTAAGTTTTACAATTGCATAGCATGTGCTCTCCACATAGTACATGCGCGGATCTAGAGGGGGAGTTAGGGGGGTCAGGACCCCCCCCCCCCCCCGTGGAATTAACAAGGTTAAAAAATGTATATACTAAAGCAAAAAAAAGTTACCATGGACCCCCCTTGAAAAACCCTGACCCCCCCCCCCCCCTCCCCCTGGTAAACGCGAAAATTTGTGAAATGGGTATGAAAAGTGACAGGTTTGAGGCAATAGAAGTCATAGACTAAGATGATAATTCATAATCAGATTCCTGAAATATGTTGTAAAGAAAATATACGATCACTGAAGATATCATAAACTGATTAGTAAAAGAGCATGTTTTGTTGTTGCCTTACCATTATTTTTTATGGGGTTGTTTAAATTATATATTTAAAAGAAGTCATTTCATTAACAGAAAAGTTGATGGGTATAGGCACGTAGCATCGTTTTTGAAAGTGGGGCCGGCCAACGGTTAGAGAAAAAAAGTTTTTTACTTACCTGAAAAAATTTGAAAAGTGCGAAAACCCAATGTACGAAAGCCCAATGAGCTCATTTTGGTAGGTAAGAAAATGAATTTTTCGCGTTATAATGCGTAACTTTCGCGTTATAACGCGAAACTTTCGCGATATAACGCGAAACTTTAGCGAATTAACGCGTAACTTTCGCGTTATAACGCGTAACTTTTGCGAATAAACGCATAACTTTCGCGAATAAACGCGAAACTTTCGCGATATAACGCGAAATAATATGCATATAATAATGTTACTCAGGAACATTGATCTTGACTGACAGATTAGAACATGAACACAGACGGGAACTCTCAGAAAATTTATAAAATATCATTTCCTCAGATGTACTGGAGAAATGATGCGAGAATAGGATAGATTAGTCATCAGAATATTTTTTTTTTACCTTACCATTGAATTAATAAAATGAGTTTTTCTTTCTTGTATATGTTTTTCAATTGTTAAAATTTAATTTAATTCTTTAGACTGATTATTTTTCAAGGAAAATCTCCACTTGACACTTTTTTCAAGCTTTTTTTAATCGGTAACATTTACTACAACTGCACCACTAGTAAATTACATGTCATATGTAAGCAATCAATCATTTTGGACAAAAAAATATACACCGTAGAAACATAACGTTTAAAGAGGCTAGGGGTGGCAGCCATTTTTAGACCATTTCAATCTCCTTTAAAAGGAGAGCTCCATGTAAAGATATACAAAAATGATGAAATTTTTAAAACTTAAATGTATGAATTTTTTCTTTGCCAAATGAAAGTTGACAGCTAAAGATACCGTATCTAAAAAAAATAAGTGAAATCTGGTGGTTAATTTGTGATTAATTTGTTGAACCACCAGCCTCCTTAAGTTAATGAACAATGTATGATTTCATAAGCTTAACGGGTCATATGATGCTGTTTAAATAACAATTATAATTGGATATTGTTAATTACAAATTTATTTAGGAGGAGGAGGGGTCTCTAAATTTTCTACTATATTTTTATATTGGGTTATAGAGAAGTTCGTGGACTAGCCATAAATAATAACTATAAGGTATACAGCAGAGTTTATACACTTTGAATTGTCTCAATGTTTTCGTAAGCAAAGGAATGACAACGGGGTGTAGACTGGTATTGCCTGTCTTTACCGTACGCAGGAATATGTATATCGGATATCAGACAGGCAGGCCAGTCTAAACGGGGTGCAACCTCAAAATAGGATATCGTATTTCCACAGTGAATCCAGCGGAGAGAAATGAAAATCTACTATCTTATTTTCACAAATGCGGTAGGACACAATTGACAAATTTACCTCATTTTGAGACCTTGATCTTGATCTCAAAATAAAATTATTTCAAATTCTCTAGAGAGTGCAAAAAAAAAAAGACGCCGGAAAGAGGGGATTTTCCCCGAAATTAATAATCTTGAAGTTTAATTTTTGGAAAACTTGCATTAAGAAACAGCGTTGACAAAGACAAATTGTGACGGTTAAGATGGATTCAATAGCAAGAAAGCTTACAATTTATCTTGTAATAGTCCAAGATCGAAATAGGCTTTCGCTTATCATAGAAATGATTAAACTTGATGTCAAAATCAAAAGAAAGTTGAGACTAAAGCAAATGTCTAATTAAACAGCGAAAGTTTCGCGTTATAACGCGAAAGTTATGCGTTTATTTGCGAAAGTTTCGCGTTATAACGCGAAAGTTACGCGTTTATTTGCGAAAGTTTCGCGTTATAACGCGAAAAATGTTTTTTTTTTTTTTACCTACGAAAATGAGCTCATTGGGCTTGGGCTCGAAATAGGCTTTCGCTTATCATAGAAATGATTAAACTTGATGTCAAAATCAAAAGAAAGTTGAGACTAAAGCAAATGTCTAATTAAACAGCGAAAGTTTCGCGTTATAACGCGAAAGTTATGCGTTTATAACGCGAAAGTTACGCGTTTATTCGCGAAAGTTACGCGTTTATTCGCAAAAGTTTCGCGTTATAACGCGAAAAATGTTTTTTTTTTTTTTACCTACGAAAATGAGCTCATTGGGCTTTCGAACCAATGAGCTCATTTTCGTAGGTTAAAAAAAATATATTTTTTGCGTTATAACGCGAAACTTTTGCGATATAACGCCTAACTTTCGCGTTATAACGCGAAACTTTCGCGATATAACGCGAAACTTTTGCTATTGAACCAGACATTTGCTTTAGTCTCAACTTTCTTTTGATTTTGACATCAAGTTTATTCATTACAATGATAAGCAAAAGGCTATTTCGATCTTGGACTATCACAATATAAATTGTAAGCTTTCTTGCTATTGAATCCATCTTTACCGTCACAATTTGTCTTTTTCAACGCTGTTTCTTAATGCAAGTTTTCCAAAAGTTAAACTTCAAGATTATTAATTTCGGGGAAAATCACCCCTTTCCGGCGTCTTTTTTATGCACTCTCTAGAGAATTTGAAATAATTTTATTTGATAAGAATCAAGATCAAGATCGATGATAATCAGCATGCACAAAATGAGGTAAATTTGTCAATTGTGTCCCACCGCATTTGTGAAAATTGGATAGCAGCTTTTCATTTCTCTCCGCTGGATTAACTGTGGAAATACGATATCCTATTTTGAGGTTGCACCCCGTTGTCATTCCATTGCTTACGAAAATTCAAAGATTCAAAGTATACAAACTATGCTGTATACCTTCATAGTTTTTATTTATGGCTAGTCCACGAACTTCTCTATAACCCAATATATAAATATTGGAGAAAATTTAGAGACCCCTCCTCCTCCTTAATAAATTTGTAATTAACAATATCCAATTATAATTGTTATTTAAACAGCATCATATGACCCGTTAAGCTCATGAAATTATACATTGTTCATTCACTTTTACGTTATGTTTCTATAGTGTATATTTTTTTGTCCAAAATGGTTGATTGCTTAATTTAATAGTGGTGCAGTTGTAGTAAATGTTACAAATTAAAAAAAGCTTGAAAAAAAGTGTCAAGTGGAGATTTTCCTTCAAAAATAATCAGTCTAAAGAATTAAACTAAATTTTATCAATTAAAGAATTAAACTAAATTTTATCAATTAAAAAAACATGTACAAGAAAGTAAAACTCATTTTATTAATTCAATGGTAAGGTTTTAAATAAAATATTCTGATGACTAATCTATTCTACATGTATTCTCGCATCATTTCTCCAGTACATCTTCTGAGGAAATGATATTTTATAAATAAGTTCCTAAGAGTTCCCATCTGTGTTCATGTTCTAATCTGTCAGTCAAGATCAATGTTCCTGAGTGACATTACTATATGCATATTATTTCGCGTTATAACGCGAAAGTAACGCGTTTATTCGCGAAAGTTTCTCGTTATATCGCGAAAGTTTCGCGTTTATTCGCGAAAGTTACGCGTTATATCGCGAAAGTTTCGCGTTATATCGCGAAAGTTTCGCGTTATATCGCCAAAAGTTTCGCGGTATAACGCGAAAGTTTCGTGTTTATTCGCGAAAGTTTTGCATTATAACGCGAAAAATTTATTTTTTTTACCTACGAAAATGAGCTCATTGGGCTTTCGTAGAAAAGCAAAAAAAAAAAAAAAAAGGAAAATTGAAATTTGCCCGAACTCGAAAATCCTATTTCGTGGGGGATGGTGGGGGGTGAGGGGGTTTGGGGTGGGGGTGGGGGGGGGGGGGGTAGTGGCCAACTTTTTCAAGGCCAAATTGCTTTCTCTTCCAAATTTTTTCCTACAATTCCTTTATATCACTAAACTATGTTAAAAAGGGGGGAGGCAACCAAACCATCCTTTCAATGAACATTTTCTATATAGTAAAGGTAATGCTGGGGAAAAAAGTGGGGGGACCAGCCCCCCCCCCCCCCCCCCCGTTGCTATGTCCCTGGAGTTAAAGACTGCCTGCAACACCACCTTTCTCTTTTGTAGTTTAGAGAAATCCTGTAATATTTGGGGAGGGGGGAAGGAGTTTGAAACTCATATGTATAGTAAATTAAATATACCCCCCCCCCCCAATGATCTTTCCCCAATCGCCACATTCGTAAACAATGCTTAATGCCTGGTTGGTCATGGGTATTAAAATTTAATTAAAAGAAATGAGCATTTAATTTTGTGAAAGATGCTAAGGTGGAAAACATTTCTGTGTGTCTCAAGTTTCAAACTTATTACGAGTACATCTTTGTACGAGTTAATATGACTATAATATGAAAACAAACATGGCGGACACAGTGACGGCACCACAAAACCAAAATTTATCTAAAAGAAAGATATGGGTTCAGTTGAAACGTTTAGATCAAACAGAACTAGGTACATTAAAAATTGTAGGCTTCTTAGTATCGTGATAGCAGGAAACATTTTATTTAATATGGAATTGCATATGTTATCCTTATGACTCGATGAGTTATGACCAGGTCCAGTATCCAATCACTTATTTAGCTACGTAGGTAGAATTACCTACGTAGCTTTATTTACCTACCTCAGGTAGCTTTATTTAACTATTTCAATGAAACTTTTCACAAATTTTCTTTTCATTGAAAAGAGTAAAAAAAATCGCAATTAGATGACTTTAAATATTTATACTAGGGGAGCAAAACATGTAGTTCCGTTGTTTGGTTAACTGTCCTCTCTGTTGGCTGCGGTGAGGCATGACTGAGTATGATTACTTCACATTGTGCTGAATAATTACCGACCTATTATCATGTTAACCAGAACTGGACTTCTGTAAGACTTCTTTGTCATTTCACTCAAGAAGTAACTGGTCTAACTGTCATACATAGCCCCAAAACTTTCAGGACTTTGATTGCAATTGCACAGAAAAAGGCAATTCTTCAAGAGTGATTTTTACATGAATTGTTTTCAGATGAGTTCAAAGTTGAAAATTATCACTGCATCAAAATGAAATTTTCTGCACATCCTGAGAAAAATGCTTTTTTATATAAATAAATTGATTTGGTAGCTAAATAAAGCTACCTCAGGTAGGCAAATAAAGCTAAGTAGGTAAATCAAGCTACGTAGCTAAATCTAGTGATTGTACCAGACCTGATGACAACTTGTCTCTGTCAGCTGTCTGTCTAACAGTCTATGTTTAATATGTAGACTCACATCATCAGGTCCAGCACAATCTCTTGATTTAGCTACTTTTTCTCACTTTTTTTTCTTTAATGTGTTTTTTCCAGTATGTTATTTAAAAAGTTGGACCTTGGTAGCAACTTTTGCAATTAAAATACTTTAAAATCAAATAATCTAAAATTATACTCTCTTTTCATATATGTTCATGTATAAACAATCTACATTACTACCAAAATTTATTCCATAGTTGCATATACTTCCTGAGATGCATTCACAGATAGAGTTCAGAGGCCCAAGTAAGGGTAACAGGATGTTTTGTGCCGATGCATGGTTCTCTCAGCAATCTTTTGCTCCAAACACATCAATGTGGTACTGAGTTTAGTTCGTTTAAAATGAACCAAAATATGATGAGATATATTAAAACAAAACGAGACGTCTTGCACCAAATTCGGCATGAATCATCCTGGCACGAAAGTGCTCAGTGCGAAACAAAATCAGCGCGAAACATCTTAATGTCAATAAAAAAGGTTAATTTTGGAATTGATTTCAGCATTTTATCTTTGGGATTATTTTTGGGATTTACATTATTTCAGAATGAACTTTGGTAGTACTGTACATTGTTTATATAATATATACATGTATGTCTTGAATAGATTTGTCGAATAGAAAGTAAATATCATTTGATTTTAAAGTTTCTAAAATATTTTTTAACAACCCAAATTTTTTTTAAAGCAATCCATTGTCGTATCACTCATTAAGTAAATTTCAAACTCCTGAGGTGTAGCTTCACTGATGGATTTAGAGGGGGGCCAAGGTGATTTAAAAATCATTTTTTTTATGTGCCCCCTCCCCCCCTTTCAAGATTCCTGGATCCTTCACTGAGCATTATGTGCTCATCATCTTAATCTATGAATGGGGGGGGGGGGATATATGATAAAAACCCAAGAGCAAACAGTCAATAGGACTTCTTCCTGGAATATGAAATAATGTGATTCACATTTATTATTATTATTTCAGAAATAATAAATCATAATCAGCATGATCAGGAAGTTTGTTAAGTCTTTAAATTAAAAAAAAAAATGTACAAACTAGAAGTAAACCCAGTCCCTTCACTGAGAAATGTTAAGTAATAATGCCATTCAGTGCTCTAAGTCAGAGAGATTTGTAAACTTGATAGAGCTAGACAAGTTATGTTATTTCCAAACTGAATTTTAAAAAAGATGCTACCACCCATGATTTCAAGAATACTAGTTAAGTATTTCATACAGAAAAACTTACATTAAACAAATGAATATACAACATGTATAGTTAAATTAAGGCTATAATGATTTATTCATTTCATTGTCCAAAATATGACAATATTTTTCTGAAAATGTTTTCTTGTTCCTATTTTATGTTACAGATGGTTATAGTGACAATGATGATCACGTAGTTGTACGGAGTATATACCTCAAAGACCAGGACGGATTTAATGAGGTCAAAGGTCGACTTTGTGAAACATTCCAAATCTATGATGAGGGAATTGTCTTTAAGGTATTTATAATTAAGTTGTGTTTTTATAAATGCACAAAGTTTGAAGCAAGATTGATATCCCAAGATTAGTCTACTGAATGCTAAGCTGTGTAATCAAGTAGGAAAATATCTTTTCTGTTATATTCATTATCTTATATATACATGTATAAAGCAATAAAACTGTAGAAAAATTATTTCTGAGGAATTCGAATCAATTACTTATTTTTTCCCAGATAAAATTTGGATAAATTAATCAATACAGAGAAACACGATTCATGTACAAACGCGGCTTCATCTCTGTTGAGAATATGTTTCTTAAATTTATATATCCTTAGATACTAATCACTACATTTTCAAGTTAAAATGCAAACAAATTTTGTAGTTTACCTGGATTTAATTCTTTCTTTTTTTATACAGCTTAGAAATCACAGAGGATCCTTAATTCCCATGAAAGGAAATATCCCAGTCAACTCCAAGTCTGTGTAAGTTATCAGCTTCAAGTCTGTGTAAGTCATGTAAACTCCAAGTCTGTGTATGTCAAGTCAACTCCAAGTCTGTGTAAGTCATACACTGTACAACTCCAAGTCTGTGTAAGTCATGTCAACTCCAAGTCTGTGTAAGTCATACACTGTACAACTCCAAGTCTGTGTAAGTCATACACTGTACAACTCCAAGTCTGTGTAAGTCATACACTGTACAACTCCAAGTCTGTGTAAGTCATATGCTGTACAACTCCAAGTCTGTGTATGTCATATGCTGTACAACTCCAAGTCTGTGTAAGTCATACACTGTACAACTCCAAGTCTGTTTAATTCATTCAACTCCAAGTCTGTTTAATTCATTCAACTCCAAGGCTGTGTAATTCATTCAACTCCAAGGCTGTGTAAGTCATACACTGTACAACTCCAAGTGTGTGTAAGTCATACGCTGTATAACTAAAAGTCTGTGTAAGTCATACACTGTACAACTCCAAGTCTGTGTAAGTCATATGCTGTACAACTCCAAGTCTATGTAAGTCATACATTGTACAACTCCAAGTCTGTTTAAGTCATGTCAATTCCAAGTCTGTGTAAGTCATACACTGTACAACTCCAAGTCTGTGTAAGTCATACATTGTACAACTCCAAGTCTTTGTACGTTATCAACTCCAAGTCTGTGTTAGACATACTGAAAGGAAATATCCAAGTGAACTAAAAGTCTGTGTAAGTTATCAACTCCAAATCTGTGTAAGTCATATTCACTTAATGTCTGTGTTATTTATTCAACTCCATGTCTGTGTAAGTCATATGCTGTACAAGTCCAAGTCTTTGTAATTCCTATACTGCACAAGTCCAAGTCTGTGTAAGTCCTACACTGTACAACTCAAAATCTGTGTAAGTTATCAATTCCAAGTCTGTGTAAGTCATTCACTGTATCACTCCAAGTGTGTGTAAGTCATACACTGTATAACTGTAGTGTAAGTCTGAGTTATACAACTCCAAGTCTGTGTAATACATAATGAAAAAAAATATCCCAGTCAACTCCAAGTCTGTGTAAGTTATCAGCTCCAAGTCTGTGTAAGTCATGTCAACTCCAAGTCTGTGTGTGTCATGTCAACTCTAAGTCTGTGTAAGTCATGTCAACTCCAAGTCTGTGTAAGTCATACAACTCCAAGTCTGTGTATTTCATAATTCAATTGAGTCCAATGCTGGAAATTGAGTTTGTCATCGTAGCAATATATTACAACAGTTACTTCATATCAATGTTCATTCACTAAATAATGGAAAATTAATAATGGAAAATTCATATCCCTCATTTAGCTTGAAGTGAACTTTTTTTTAAAATTCAAATTTGTATTATAAAAATATTACTGTTATCTTCTGTTTCCAAATGATCATTGATTGAACTTTTTTCAGTCCCTACCTCCTAGAAGTAGCAAAAGTCCATCAGAATGGTTTGTATCTTCATTTCTTGAGTAGTGATAAAAGAAAATGGAGAGTTATTCTCCTTTACCTTATCATAGTATGAGATGCTTTGATGGTCAACATGGTTCTATTATAAGATTTTGTAGCCCTTTTTTTTAATCTATCATAATGAAAACATAGTAGATACTTTTAATTTTTTTTATCTTGCAGTGACACCAAAGGCCAAGTCTATAAAGATCTCTGATCAGACAGAAACAATGAAGAAAAGATTTGAAGACATCATTAGAAGGGTAAATACTATTCAGATTTCTATTTTCTGCGTGAATTTTTTTTTTTTTTGGGGGGGGGAGTAATACTAGAATTTCTAAATCCATCTTTCAGACAATTTTTTCTACAAAAAAAGTCTCTGAAGTTTTGGAAAAATTTTGTTTTGAAACTTTAAATATATAATACCTAATATTGCTGAGAAATTTATTATGCAATATACAATGTACTGCAATATTTTTAACTGTATTGTGATTAGCTGCAATAATGTACAGAGCCCTTTCCCTTCTCTCCAGAAAATATCAGAATTTAAAAAATCAGAAAGGGCTGCTTAATTGCAGAGTTACCTTGGTACAATGATCTTTCCTCATTTTTTCAAAACCTTCATTTATAAGCAGAATGTCTTTAACTATGATAAATATGTTGGAACAAAAGAGTTCTTAATGATTTAATAACAATTTTACAATGAAATACAACCAAACTTGAAACAAATCTCTTGTGTCTAGATCCTGACACGTTCGTAAGCCATGTTGTTTTCGCTTTGCTCGAAGGAAGCTTATAAGGCTAATCAGACAAGTTCACAGAGAACAAAATTTTGTTACATTTGCAAACCTGTAAAGGATAGTTGTATAATCCGTGTCATACAATATCATTGTCACCTTTTTCCTTCATATGTACAATCATTCATTTCCTATGTAAATATTATTGTACAATTTGTAATATGCCATGGGATGTTTATCCTAAGTACCTGGGTAATACATTGTAAATAAATTACAAAATTAGTAAGCAGGGGAGATTTATTAGCAATTTATATTTGAGGTAAAGGCTGCTTGTGACTCAGGTTTTCCTGGATGTTAACCCAGAAAAAATTTAAACAAGTTCATGATAATGCTGGGAATTTTCCACTCCATTTTGAGAATGGGGCTCAGACTTTGGAATTGCAAGATGTTTTTCAAGAAATAGACATTTATGATGAATAAAATCGACCTTTTATTTAATCATTCTAAACAGTAAATCAGAGAATAGATAAATTATATGATAAAGTTTTAGCCACGTTTCTTAAAATTTTGTTCATTTCATTCGGTTTCCAGACCTGGCCATGATTTTTTTCCAACAGACCTTTGATCAAGTTACTATATCGGTTTATTTTGGGGAAAAAGGAAAAGAATGCAGGCCATATTCAGCCCAACACGGGCCTGTGGAAAATCCCTGAATGTCTTAGGAAATGCAAAATTTTTGCTACAACCACATAGTTACATGTATTTGAAGAGAAAAAAATTATACAAATACTCTTACTGACTAGAAAGCTAGTAACAACCCTATGTGTCATGACCATGGTCATTTGGTCAATGGCTATGGTTATTTGGTTTTAAGTGTCATATTCCTGTATAATTTATAAATTGAATACCGAGGATTCTGTAAACCAGCTTTTATTCATGACGACTATATTTCAAGATTTACAAGAAATAAACTAGTTCGCAACAATTAATTTTCACGATCAAGCCTTTTTAGACCTCGAATCTGTTACAAAAGTTTTACCATTCCCAAGTAACTATAAGCCCTATGAACCAAACTTGCATGGATGATACATCTAAGGTTGTACACTACCAGACTTGCTTCGGATGCTGGAAAGATGAGTGACCAGGTAAAGTTTTTGGTCCATATTTGCATGGATGATGCATCTACGGATGTACACTACCAGACTTTTGGATCTGACCTACATTTTCCAGATGAGTGACCAGGTTAAAGTTTTTGGAGCAGGTCTGAACTATAAGCCCTACCTGTTCCAAACTTGCATGGATGATGCATCTAGGAAAGGACACTACAAAACTTGCTTCGGATGCTGGATCTGACCTACATTTTTCAGATGAGTGACCAGGTTAAAGTTTTTAGAGCAGGTCCATTCCACAGAAACTATAAGCCTTATTTGGACCAAACTTGCATAGATGATGCATCTAGGGATGGACACTACCAACTTGCTTATGCTGGATCTGACCTACATTTTCATTCCCAAGTAACTATAAGCCCTACCTGAGCCAAACTTGCATTGATGTATCTAGGGATGTACACTACCAGACTAGCTTCGGATGCTGACCTTTTTCATTCCCATGTACATAAGCCCTACCTGAATTGCATTGAAACTGGACACTACCAAACTAGTTTCGGATGCTGGATCTGACCTACATTTTCAATTTTTTTGGACTAAACTAGCATGGATGATGTATCTAGGGATGGACACTACCAGACTTGCTTCGGATGCTGGATCTGACCTACATTTTCAAGCCCTAGCTAAACCAAATTTGCATGGATGATGTATCTTAGGATGGACACTATCAGACTTGCTTCGGATGCTGGATCTGACCTACATTTTCATTCCCAAGTAACCATAGGCCCTAGCTAAACCAAACTTGCATGAATGATGTATCTAGGGATGGACACTACCAGACTTGCTTCGGATGCTGGATCTGACCTACATTTTCATTCCCAAGTAACTATAACTTCTACCTGAACCAAACTTGCATGGATGATGCATCTAAGGTTGGACACTATCAGACTTGCTTCAGATGCTGGATCTGACCTATATTTTCCATACAAGAGACCAGGTTAAAGTTTTGGGAACAAATCAAGTACTTGATATCTGCATATTAACAAAGTTATGAATATTTGTTAACACTATACATGTTTTTCACGCTACACGTGTAGAAATATGTGTATGCCATGTAAGGGGTTAAACACAACTTGCAAGAATATTGTTGTTTGGGTGAATACTAAATATTAAGAAAATATGATGTAAGATTTACATTGCTTAAACTGATAACATTCGTCGAGGTGAGCTTCGTAATCTTTGATTACCTATGTTTGGATCTTTTGTTAATAGACACATACATTTTAAGAACGGGTTTGCCGTGAGAAATATTCGTGATGACAAGGCTCTCGCGAACTTTGTGAAAATTTCTCGCTTGCGAATAAAAGTTGGTTTACAGTAATACTTACCATAAGATGATTATATGATTCATCTCATGACCCTGAAATAGGAGTCAGAGAAAGCAAGCACCTGTAATAGGAATCACAAGTAGCTTAGAAATAATAATAATTATACTTTGACATCAGGTGGAGAATATAGAATCTGTGACACCGGATCTAGACTTCAGAAGAAAAGAGAGAATTGAGTCTGTAAGTAACTGTCTTCATTTTATTGTTTACATCAGGAATCTAACAGAACAATTTTTTCTATTTGTCTTATGTAGATATTTTCCCATGTGATTTCTTTTTATTAATAAAGGCCATATGGGAAAATGTACAAAAACATTTGTTATTAGCAGCATAGGATGTGGAGTTTATACCACCATACTCAAGTTTTCTGAAGTATAAAAAGAAATAAAATATTAGACAAATATTTACTTTTGGCCTTGTGAACTTTATCTGAAGTATCGTATTTATTTCAGGAGATACGAGAACTAGAAAATAAACTGGTCTTTCTCCAGAAGCGCCTGAACGAAGCGGAAGTTAGTCAATGGAAGGGGATGTTTAAAAAGAACCCGCTGTGGTAGAAATCTCAAACAAAGGACTGTCTGTGGTAAAGAACACTCTGTCGTAAAGAAATCTGTCATAGAAAACTCCAGCAAAGAAACTGCTGTGGTAAAGAATATGTGGTAAAACACATAAGATGTGGTAAAGAATGCTCTGTCACAGTTGGAAATCTCAGACAGCTGGTCTTGTGCAATGACAAACACACTGTCTACCTCTTGTTCTGTACGTTTTTGTAAATGGCTGTTTGTTTTACGTACAACATGTTGTTGATGTTTATAAATGTAAATCTGGGTTTTTCTATTATATATTAATAACCTCAAGAACAGTGTAAAATCTTTTTCTCTAAACTGAATCAATAATTTGTCATCATTTTTTTAACTGCTATCTAATTAATGGGGATTTTTAACTACAGTGGCTCTAAATGAAGGCTATTTTATTAAAGCTACAAAATTATTAAATGATTGCTAAAATAATTTGCATGTACCAAAAATATACAGTGTAATTGTGTTTAATATTTCAGACATTTCGAAACATGACTAAAACTTATCTGTAATATTTTTTTAAAACCAAAAAAAAATTCTCTTCCATTTTTTAAAGCCTAATGTGAGTTTTAATTTATTCATTCCACTTTTATTTTCAAAATTAATATTTATTATCATTGATATATTTATTTTTATTGATAATTTTGTATTTTCAATACAGTTTCAAAAATTAACATCTAGGGTGTCTTATACCGTAGAAATTGTGTAAAATAGTCCAATGTGAAAACTGTTTAATGGTTCATTTTCAACTTGCTCTTGGGACAGGAATGACTGTTAGCTTTGAATGGGACATAGAAAAGATGTTTAGCTTATATTAATACACCTTACAATTTATTTTTTCAAGGAAGTCAATTTTGTGGATTTTTTCTTTAATTTGCCTTGCTGATTTTTTATCTTGGCAATTTTACAAAATGTTGTATTAGGAAAAGATTATTTAAGTTTCTGAACTTGTGTCTAATCCTTTTAGCTCTTTGTCAATAAAATATGTTCAAATTCAACTCAAGATTTCTTGCAAAATTGTGTCAGTATTTCCAAAGACTTGTCTCCCCTCCATTGACAAACCAATACATTGAATGATTTTTTTTGTGATGTTATTTTACACTTTTCAACAAAAATATAAAAAATTCATAATCTAAAAATAAGAAAGAAATATTTTCATCTCTTAGTAGGTATAAAAATCTGTTGAAAGCTTTAATACAAGAAAATTGGAATGTGTATTGTTACACAAAATGATATATGAAGGATGAAGTGATCGTCCATTAATAAGGATATTGAACATCCCCATCCCAACCTCTAAATCTATATTGTATGAAGAAAAAAAAGCCATTTCCCATATAATCCGTTTTTCATCAAAAGATGAAATCGCCCATGGGTACATGCATGCAGAAGAATTTTTTTGTAGTTTTTATTTACAAGAGGAACAATTCAAGAAAGATAACTCTGCCTCGCTTGATGAAACGCGTTCAGCGATTGGTAATAGGTGCTTGGTAATTTATTTCAGTAAAAAAAAAGATAGTAACTTTAACAAGCTTAAAGGAATGTAGATTTTTTTTTAATAGCAGAAATGCAGAATACATTGTAGCAGAATATATATGCTTGTGTGGAATTGACATTCAGTGTTAGTTTTGTGTAGTTAATACGATTAATTTATGTCAGGAACTAAAATAGGCTTGTCAAAATGCACTGTTAATCAAGTATAGACTTTTTTATGTACAGATTTTAATTCGAAAAAAAATATGCTTGCTTAACAATCTTTTCAATTTTTGCAAAGCATGACCGATTAGATTTTTAAACTTTACTATAATATATCTTAGATTTATTTAACAATGTCCCTAAACAATGAAATTTAAAGCAAGGATTGACGTGCAGTATTGTTTAAGGTGGTTTAAATCTTGATAGCTTTATACAGGGTAGATAATGTCCCCGTGTGGATTAATATATATCCGTCAAACGGAGATATACATCGGAGACTTGTGTTTTAACATTAGGTGTTTTAGCGTATGTGCGATGTCAAATACTTACGTTGATTTTTTTTATTTTGATATACGTCCAGGGGTAAAACAGGTTAACAAACAAATGAATATAAAATCGAGATATTGAAAGGGAATTAAATAGATCCGTTAATTCGGGCATTTAAAATTTAATTTTAAGCCTTTCAAAGGACGGGTGAAGGACAGGGTTAATTTTATATCACTGAAAAAATAAACTTTAGAAGACGATATGGCAAAATATGCTGTCATATTACACGTACGTGGTCTAGTTAAAGAATATTTTAGAAATTACTTATTAATGCAGTTTGAGATGAATTATTTGCAGACCTATAGTGTTATTGTTTCATATACTATAGTCTTTGACCATGTCAGAGACTAATACATGTACATGCACATTTATATAAAATCATAAAGCTACATTTCCGCAGTTAGAGTTTTAATGCACTCAAGGTATACCATGCTGTATATCTAGTAAAATTGGTCGACTTAAATTTATTTTTCTTAATTTATAAAGAATTTTATTTTTTTTTCCCCCAGATTTGACTTTTGTGATAGAGGGATAGATGCAAAAGACACATTCCACCTTCGTAAAAACAATGAACACTTTTAATGCCAACAGATAATGCGAAAATACCTGTACATGTAGTCATGTACCCTGTGGACGTGTTGTAGAAAGTACACAATTATTCACCTGTATTCACTTGCATGTGGACATGCACGACGTGATGGTTAGCGCCATTTCACTTCAAATTTTATATTCAATCTAAAATCATGACAAGATCTCAAGCACCTCTCTCTCTCTCTCTCTGATCACAGGTGCTTGTGTACAGGACCCCCCCCCCTCAGCCCCTTACCCCAACTATTTTCAGCTCAGATATGAGCTTGAAAGATTGCAATTTCACTTACTATTGTTGATTCGTAATTATATAAATTATTTTTAAATTCATTCAGATAGAAATCAAAGTCAAGTAATATAAATATTGAGATTCCAAGACTCTCTCTCTCTCTCTCTCTCTCTCTCTCTCTCTCTCTCTCTCTCTCTCCGTGCATGCATTTATTTGCCCACCTGCTTTACTGTTCAATAAGATTACGTAATTGTTTTCCTTAATCAAAAAGCTTAAATCTTAAAAGTCTTACAGTCTTTTTATCAACGAACAAAAAGACTGCACATTGTAATAAATGTAAAAGATCGATGCATTTCTCTTTTCAAGGTGGCCAAGAAACCTTTATATAGACCTGCTGAATTAAGTTGAGGGTAATTAATTACCTGCTCCAGACGTTTTTCTTACTCATTTTCTTACATGCAGAGGAGATTAACATGGGAGGTTTCATTCAGATCAGATTTAGTCTTTAAGGAAAACTTGACATGCAGCCAATCTCTGGATGTGTAAGAATATGTAGCGACATGTTTGTGGGGTTTAAGTTCGGGGGTTAAGCTCTGTCGTTAATGTTCAAACAACAGAGAGAGCAATAATATATAACAGATGCGCTCTTTACAAAGAGATTCATATTTTTTGTCCCCTGCTTTCACAGAGAGTCGGAGATATTTCTTTGGTTCTGTATGTCTGTTCGCCTGTACAGTATTTCTGTCAGTAACTCTTTCATTTTCGCGCAAGATCTCGAAATTTAAGCTTCTGCAATGAAATTTCATATTGTATCAACTTCCTAAGGTATATATTTAAGAGGAAAATCCCTAATTATTTTGAGGTCAATGATCAAGGTGGTTAATTCATTCATTTTGTCTGTTTGTAAAACTTTCAATTTTGGCCCATATTTTATTAACTGTTGGGCTTTAGCAATAAAATTTTATACCTTAACTCCCTGTGGCGCCGCCCGCCCTTCTTCAAGTTCTAGATCCGCGCATCTTCTTTTTCCCCTAGATAAGAGAGTGCACAGATTCTCCAATTATTGTGTTAAGAAATGTGATTAATATAAATAATTGATAGATAATCAATTAATACTTTTGATTTTTCCTGGCTTTGCCTAATACATGTAAGTATATCAGATTTCTACAAATATCGCAGTCTTTTTAACTTTTTTTCCTTCCTAACTGCTTAATAAAGAATGCATGTACACTGGACCAGGTACATTCGCAATATACATGATATATGAATAAAATTTACAGAATCGGCCTAATCATTGTGCAGGAAAGAACATTTTACTGAGTGCAATGAAAACGCTGCTTAAGGTCCATTCTATACATCCTTAAAATCGACTTTCAAAAAAATTGGGGCTGTATTTTTTTACACCTTATTTTTTAAGCGATCTAAGGCAGGTTCTATATATAAATGTACTAAGTAGTGTCATTTCGGCATAGCTATGTCTCTAACTGTTAGACCTACAAACATGCAATATTTCTAGACGAATGAAGCACTTTAAATTAATAAGCGCTTCACTATCACTGTACCTTTGTACCTTCACTTTTACGTAATATCGAAGATTTTGCTGTGTCGGCAGACTGAAGGCATGTAAAAAAGGCACCAAACGCCCACAAACACGTATAAACTCAGCTGGGGATAATGAATGGGGACAGCTGTGGGGGTAAAACTGTATAAATAGTATAACTTATAGTATAGCCATCAGTAGGTACTCCGTATGAACTTCTGTGAGGGAATTCAGACATAAAATCTCAGAGAACTTACCGTTGCCACGGTTTCCCCGTCCCAGACACAAAGGTTAAGTGTTATGTATATCCCCACCCCCTTTTTCTTTCAATAAGTGCCCCCAGTTTTGTTGTAGAATTCGTGATATGTTTTTGAAAAAGAAATATAATCAAGATATACATATGGATTGCATTTAATCTGGCAAAACCAACGTAAGAGAGACTTCCTATCAAATTCATGCTATTGTAAAAATCTATAGGTCCACAAGCCTATACATTATAGAATAATACGGTATCAGTTTACCAATATGCATAATTTTTTTTACTTGAAGATATCTCATTCTATTAGTTGTTGGCGATATATATCTGGTGAGTGCCCGATATTCTGCCATTTTCCGATTTATTTTTAGAAGCGCACATCGAGGGTGTTTGATGTCAGCCATACAATAGTTTAACCGCAGTTGTCATGATCTATACCTAATCGAATAGCACATTGAGCATCCCTGCTCTGCAAAGCTGTATGCCGTACGGATCAAGAGAAATCTATCAAATATAACTCAACCATAAGTACGCTTATTAACGAAAAATGCAGAGATGATATCCGAGGAATATTTTTATAATTATGTTCCCCAAACGGAGTTTGGGAACATATTGTTTTTACTCGGTTTCTTATTATTATTATTATTATTATTATTATTCTTTTTTTTCTTCTTTGTTCTCCGGTACTTTTTTGTCCGCGAGTGTTCTCAGAAACTGTTCACCCAACTAAGTTAAAACCTTTTTAGGGTTAATAGGTGTCAAGTGTAGGTGTGCACAACGAAGGTCATTTTGCGCGCATACGCATGCACGTGCGTGCGCGTGAAATGAGTGAAAAGACTGATATACTTATCATAGCCATAACTTTTACATTTTTTATTGAAATGCTTTGAAACTCATTCTATAAGGATATATTAATAGTCTAGATAATATGACATGGTCAAATTAGCACGAACTCACGTGCATGCACGTGCGCTTCCCTCTGATTGGCTGAAACAAAGATTTCAATATCTCTTTTGTTTTTTGACGAAATGCTTTGAAATTTTAAACATAGTCATGCATTAGGATATACTACAATATAATATATAGCAGGTATCATGAAAACACGCGCATGCACGTGCGCTGCAATCTGATTGGCTTAAACTTTAAATAGGTATAACTCCTTTGATTTTCAACGAAACAGGATGGGATTTAGAAAATAGATAGACAAAGTGGATTCCTACAAAAAGGTAAGGTCATCATGCACATGCATGCACGTGCATGCACATGAGATGGATAAAATCAAAAATACACTTGATGAAGCGTATTTTTTAATACTTTTGGATTAAATGCTTTATTATTTTATTATATTAATGTATATAGATAGTGT